TGTTAAGCTAAGAAGAATGTCCTCAGACTACAGCTCCATCATCCCAGCCACACCACCAGGCTCACATGGGCATTGGTGTTCACAGCCCAGGGCCTGCTTTCTCACCAGTTATGGGAGAGGACATTTATTTGTCTTTTGAATTCTGAAAAAAATTAAACCAGCTCTGTTACTGAATCCTTTCCTGTCACTCACTAAGCCTTTAGCCTCGGTCATATCCTGCTGCATGGAGTTCCATGTGTGGCAAGGTTGGGAGAGGGAATATCAGGACCTTCTCAGGACTGACAGTATGAGTGCCCCTCAGCCCAGTGGTTCCAGCCAATATAGACTCCAGCCAGGCTGCTCACCAGCCTCACAGCAACTGAAACTTGGTGGAGGGCAAAAAGGGCTTCAGAGCAGTGGTGCCAACAGGAATATACACAAAGCACAGCTCACTTGTACCAGGGGCTAAGGTGAGGGAGTAGTGTTGGAGTCCAGTTTAATTCACAGCAATATTTCTCTTGGGGGAGATGAATGCCTCCCTTCCACCTGGCAGAGGGCATGCCTCGCAGCCTGTGTACTGGCCCAGCTGCCCCAAGCTGGACTGCCACATCTACCTGCCAGATACGCTTGCCATGCTTACTCAATATCTCGGCTCCCAAAAAGCCTGGGGGCACATGAGCATTGCTTAGTGCAGGAGTGGGGAGGGAGCCATAAGACTGCAAGCGGGGGGGTGCCCCAGGCGCACTATGTGTGTTACCTGACCGTCAGGTGTCTCGCTTTGGAGGAGCCCTGCGTGGGGGACGAGGAGTTGCTCTTGCTGAGGTCCTCTACAGATCTGTCCAGGGGCTTCCCTTTGTCAGAGCCCGGGCTCCCGTTATCTGTGCTCTCCATATCATACCTGGAGGCACATGTGTGAAAACAGACTTGTGAGTGAGCAGAACACAGCCCAGGTTGGTAGGGCAGGGGTGGGATCCCAGCCAGTGGCAGGGGAAGGGTGGATGTGCTGAGTGCAGCGTCCTCCATGCAGCCACAGTATGAGCCCTCAGAGACCCCAGAGTAGAGCAGGAGCAGACCACCTGGCCCAGCTCTGCTTCCACTCCTCCAGGAAGGCAGAGGCAGATGCTTCCTCCCCAACAAATCCCCTAGGAGTCTGATGCTGCCTCTTGCCTTACTGGAGGCCCCCAAGCCTGCAGCCTTCTGCTCCTTGTCATTACCAAAGGCCGAGCTGGCACCACAAGTGGTTATGCTGCTTGGCAAACAAATTGCCCATGCCACCCATCGGCAGGATCAATCTGATTATTCTTATCCTCCAGCAAATACATGCTGGGGTATAGATCTCCCCATCAGCCCCAGACTGATTGATAGCAGAACAGCAGCTAGCACTCAGGGCTGAGAAGGGGTAAAGAGGGAAAATTTGACAGAACAGCCCAGAAATTGCAGAGATTTCAGCACCCAGGACAGTGAAGGAGCAGAAGAGGCCAGACAGGGAGCAGTTTTCTGTGCATGGGATGATGCTTACTAATAGTGTGGACTAGGGTTTTCAGAGACTGTAAGCCCCAAAGGGATGCTTCTGATGGTCTGTTCTCAATTCCTGGCCTGAAGAGGCCAGAGACTGTTATCATGTGGCTCCTGCATCCTGCCTTGAATACCAGGTTGGCATCTCCCACCTATCTTAACTGGCAGCCCCTTCTCTAAAAAGTCAACAACCCCCTTAAAATATGCCTCAAGACTAAACTGATGCAACTGGGTATGCATTTGTGCAGCGGGAGGCTAGCAGAGAACCCTCCATCTTGGAGCAGACAGGTGTGCAGAGCTGAGGGGAGCAAGGTTTCTTTGCTTTGAAGTGCAATAACATTCTCCAAGCCCTGTGATCCCTCCACAAGCCTTTCGTGACACCCCCCCCCCCC